CTCGTCTGCGTGCACTGACTGAATTGGGATAATTTCCTTGCACTATTTACCTTTGCTAATATGTCTTGTTATATCCGTATACGTATGTGCTATTCCTAGAAAATATGTGACCCGCTCCAGCAAAACCAGGATTAAGTAGGAAATTCTACAAATTGAGTTATGTGCATATCTGAATAGATCATTTAATTACCTTTAAAATGATATATAATATTTGGCTATATCTAAAGAATTGACCGATCTACAGCAATTTGAAGATCGGAAACCGACTTATTCCGGAATATGCAGCTTTTGAGATAAAGCGTTCCGGGTAAGGGGCCCAGTCGGGGATGAGCGGTCAGGGGCCCTTCAAGATTTTTATTTTTTTTTTAATTAAAAGTTACCATAATAATCTAGAGATATCTGAACCTATATATCCGGATTAAATATGCACTTAGGAACTTATTTTTGTAAAAATTTCATTTTTGTCCAGGTAGGCCATTTTCAGCATTGACATATGTGCGTGCTCATTACTCAAAACAATGACTTGCGACTTAGTCCGTATTATGCTGGAGCGGGTCACATATATCAGGAGTTAATAATGACAAAGGAGTAAGACACCTCTTTGGTACTGATTTCACTACATTTTTGTCGTACGAGTTCGATGTGAATAAAACTACAAATGTATACAAACATTCATGAGCTTCTTTTGTTCACTGGTCCATATTCTACCTTCCGGTAGTATTACAAACCGCGTAGCTTCCTTAGTTTTGACATAAATCGTACTTTTGCACGACATGGTTTTCACGTAATTTACCGCCCTGCGGCGATGCCAAGCTGTAAATTCGTACACACAGCTACTTGAAGGAGGTGCGCCAGGGCTTTTCGCCCGTAGCCTAGTCGAGTGCAGAAAATGTGCCTAGAAATTAAGTTACGTTGCACCCATGCTGGGTTTAAAAATTAAAACTTTTACATTTAAACTATAGTTAGAATGCCTTGTTTTTATGGTTGAATTCCGCAGTTTTTTAAAATAAACGCTGCGCTGGTAAAATATCTGAACTACTTCACCCGCGGAGAAATGATGTGTATGAATCGTTATGAGTAAACTAACGCTCCAGCCGATTGTAGCTTTTCGCACATGTGTTTTGCATAGCAACCGTTAGCTGTAGCCCGCGTACAGTTGCCGCTGGCGCTGCCTGAGGCGATCCCTGCCGTGCCTCCTTCAAGTAGCTGTGTGTGCGAATTTACAGCTTGGCATCGTCGCAGAGCAGTAAATTACGTGAAAACCATGTCGTGCAAAAGTACGATTTATGTCAAAACTAAGGAAGCTACGCGGTTTGTAATACTACCGGAAGATAGAATAAGAACCAGTGAACAAAAGAAGCTCATGTTTGTATACATTTGTATTTTTATTCACATCGAACTCGTACGACAAAAATGTAGTGAAATCAGTACCAAAGAGGTGTCTTACTCCTTTGTCATTATTAACTTCTGATATATATGCGAATATACCGTTAGAGGCATCCGGAAAATTGGTCACATATCCTCGGTGGCGAGGGAGAGTGAGGAGGAGGTGGATGAGGGGGAGGAAGAGGAGGAGCTGAGCATCCCGTCTGCCCCGGCCTATTCCATACTGCATGTGGCACCGTATACCTATTCACTACGCGTGCTCCCGGCATCATGATGACAGACATGATTGCAGAAGAAATATGGCAAACATTATTATTATTATAATATGATTATTATTATTATTATTATTATTATTCCAGCAGTATAATTCGTAAAAGTTAAACTGTATAACAACAATACATATCATTTAGTGAATGGATATATGTAGATTATTATAATTACAGTCACAGTTTGCTCCCTAATACATGCAAACCTAAAGTTGCACATTAATTCAACAACAATTAGCACAAAAAATCTCATCAATATGAAGCTATAATGTCATGAAACAACAATTGGAATTTGGACGTTAAACAGAGACGTACATGTTTAACCTTTATAGCAAGTATTTACATTGCATTTACAGGTCGCACACATTCTCCTTCGCACTTCGAACATGGCTTGCAAACCTGTGCACTGCCTATTACAATAGAGTTACAACTCCGGCAGAGAGGGCACGACGCCCGGTACTCAAAGCAAAACCGCCTACGAACGCAAAACACCCTGTTTGGTGCATATTACGCAGTACATACGGTGTAGGAAAAAAATGAAAAACATGAAAAAACATGAAAACGACATGAATCTGAATAAGTAATATAAAAATAAATGAAGAAGTTTGCACTGCCGTATATGCAACTTAATGCAACGTAAATTCCATATATTATCATGCAGAAAGTCTTTGAAAATATGAATATGCTTATAACTACGATTAGTGTAACATATAACAGTTTGCCAAGAAATAAAAAACCCGCACTGCCACACAGGAACAACAATGTTTATTACAGCTGTAATTACAGGCAAATCGGCGCTTATTCTAACTTCAGCTAAGCAAGGTTGCAATAAAACGTCAATGTACAAGTCTATGCTATATCAAGACCTATTAATGATTATATATATAACGGGAATTGATAATTTGATATATATATATAATATATATATATAATATACACAGGGCGCATCCTAAAGGACATGCTTGTAGCTGGCGAACTGCCAGTGATACGCCTCACGGTCGGTAGGCCACGAGAGAGAGAGAGAATGATGTAATGGGGAAAAAGAGAGAGAGAGAATGATGGGGGAAAAGAGAGAGAGAGAGAGAGAGAATGATGGGGGAAAAGAGAGAGAGAGAGAGAGACCCTCATTTCGCGACATTTTGCGACATATCGCATCATTTAATCAATTAATTTAAAATTAATTAGCATTTTCATTTAATTTAAGATAATTTAATAACAATTTAACTTTAATTTAATAAAAAAATTAATAAAATTTTATGTATGATGATTTTGAGTCATTTCGCGTCATTTTGCGGTTTAGGAGGCCGTCATTTCGCGGTATTTCGCGTCATTTCGCGGTTTAGGAGGTCCGATGCCTGATAATGCCACCAAATAAATTAATAATAAATACAGGGAAAAGGAAGCTTAAATCCATATTAAACTGACAACACAATCAATATGGAATGCGTAACCTTAGCCTAACCAGTGATTCTACAAAGTTGTTATGGAATGCGGAAGTGAAAATCGCATACAAACTGTGTAGGCGCTGAACCAACCTAGCAGGAATATCTAAGTGGATATGGTTATCTTTCTAATAGAAGGATAGGTTACTTAGGAAGGATAAAATTACTTGCTCATGCATCTACGTAATGTTTTGATTGGAGTCTTGTATTTTGCTGGTTACAGTGCATCAATCATTCAGTGACACCAATAGATCTTGTATGCATACATTGAAATAATCGAGACTGCGCCAATCTTCAGTACATTGTGATTAACTTATTGGAACGGATTTGTTTTAGGATTGATACAGAAGGTTATGAAGATTCAGAGACAGAGTACGCTGCGAAATACACAGAAGAGGAGGAGCAATCTATTATTCAGGTAGATGTCAGATATTTAAAATACCAGTATTTGCTGCTATTTTAGAAGTCTGTGTGTGTGTGTGTGTGTATATGTGCATGCGTGTGTGTATGTGTGCGCGTGTGCATGTGTGCGCGTGTGCATGTGTACACGCGCATGTGTGTCCCGTGTGGTGTGTGGTGCATGTTTGTTTCAAAGAAAGTATAACAGGCTAAACCGTACATCTAATCCTAAGTTAGCAGTCTTCTCCTTACAATAGACACATGTCTATAAATATACAATCCATAGTATAGACATATATATAGATCATGATTTTTAACTTTCCCATTAAACGATTCTTGATACATTGAGCATAGTCACAGGTTTTAATGCTAAATGTTCCTTTAGGAGTTACTGTAAACACAGTTCAATGTCTTTATGGGCTATAAGAAGTTGTGTAATGTGTTTATCAACGGACCAATAAAGTTATGCCAATGTCAGTTTTGATTCTAGGTGGTTTTTAAGACCATTGAACTTCAAATCTAATTTATGTATAATAAACCCATCTTAATAACTGTAATTTAATGAAGCATTCTGTTGGTGTAGAATGATCCGAACGCTGATGCTGTGGCATCCACCTCCTCAGCTGCTAAGTCATCTAACATTGATGACATCGAGTTGGACAGTTTTGGTGCTGGAAGCGATCCAGAAGATGAAGAGAAGCAGGCAGTGTCTGTCAGGGTCTACAAGAATTACCCGTTCAAGCGCAGCTACGATCGAAGTCTTGTCATCACCAAGTATCGCGAAAAGGTATCGATTTCACGTGCAATATACACAGTAATGTTAAACGAGCGAGTCTGTGTAATTTAATTACTAGCTCTTGGAAAATTGCTTGGGTATTGATTCAAATGCAATCACACTACAATAGTACAGTCATTGACTGCTATAGATTTTAACTATGATAAATGTCTGCACACACTTTAAAACTACTACAAAAGGTTGTTAGTGATGCTCAAAGCTTGCCGTACACAGACTCGTATCCTAATATCTGCTCGCAATATATAATGTTATTGCTGCACATCGAGCGAAATTTTGCGCGTACAAATATTTGCACACGACGCGCGACTTTGTATTTCCAAGCGTGTATGCTCACTCGCTGCGCATTTTTAATGTCGACAGATCTTGAACACGATCGAGAGCAATCAGGTGACAGTGATCCAGGGAAGCACTGGCAGCGGAAAGACGACCCAGGTGCCACAGTACATCCTGCACCACTACACGGCGATGGGACGCCATTGCAACATCATCGTCACGCAGCCACGGAGGATTGCTGCCATCAGCATTGCGAACCGGGTGTGCAAGGAACAAGACTGGCACGTTGGCAGGCTCGTCGGTTACCAGGTATTTGTGCGATCCCCTGCCCCTGTCCCTGCCTCTTTCCTACCCCCTTGTTGGCTTCGGATATTCATAAGACCAAATTTTGCAACATATTTAAATTGTCGATTGAATCTTTAAAGTTGAAATGTTTTATGCATACAATGTTGGATGTATTTTGTATTACCTCAATTTATTGCAACAAAAGGTGACGATTGACACAAGTTGTATTACCACATTATTATTACATCTAGCGTAATGACGTAATGGTTGTTGGTGCCGTCATGTAGCTGTGTGGGTCACACTGAATAAGCTTATTATGTGATGTCTAGGTTGGGCTCGAAAAGGTTGTGTCCGATGACACGCGTCTGGCGTACGTCACCACGGGAGTGCTGCTGGAGAAATTCGTGCACGGCAAGACGATGACGGATTACACCCACGTCATTCTGGATGAGGTAATCGTCATGGCTACATAATAGCATGGTTGGCTCAGTCGGCTCTTTAAACATAGCAATAGCATCTCCTTCAATAATGTTAAAGGTAATTTTGTTTTAAGATAAATTTAAATATATTGGCTTGTTAGTGGCAGTTAAAGTAAAATTACTCTTAACAATGTCATGAAATCTGATGAACTTATTTATAAAGCATTGCCTATATTCTAATAGATTTTGGCATAGTCATAGTGTTAGTAAAATACGTGTAATTTCATGTGACTTTGCAGTAGAATGGTACTTTGCTCTAGTGTAGATGAAATGTGTTGATTGTGTGCTATCATAACATCTTCTGTTCAATGCTTTTTATATCCAGGTAAAAGTTTTGAAGTTTCTAAAATGCTATCTCACTGTTAATTGATGCAGCTTAAAGTTATTTATGGTTACAACTTTTAATAAGTGAATAAATAAAATAAATGTACAGGTGCACGAGCGTGACCAGGATACAGACTTTGCCCTGCTTGTCGTCAGAAAATTACTCAGATCAAACTCTAGGCATGTCAAGGTATGTTGTTTTTGGGCATGATAATAAATATTTAAGCTCATGGATCGGATAGCTAGCCCGCATGTTCCTGATGTATTTATAATTATATGATACTCCAAAATTATATTCTCTATTAGAATCCGAAAATGTGTAGATGGTTATCATTGATGTAAAGTGCTTCCTAGAATTTTGTATAGCATTTTCTAAATGTCATCATATCTGAAAACCTGAGTTCAAAAAAGTATTAACTGCTATGTGCATCAAACGGAATTATGATTTGCGAATTTATATATTTGTTATTTGTTATCTTTAAATTGTTTCAACATTTGTTTTGTTTTAATTTTTACACTCTAGGTGGTGCTGATGTCGGCTACGTTTGACTGCGACATGTTCGCACAGTACTTCTCCATTCCAGTGGAAGGTCACTTAGAGCCTGCACCAGTGTTTAACATTGAAGGAAAATCATTTCAAGTACAGGAGTTCTACGTCGAAGAACTGAGGACGATAGGAACGGTGAGACGGTCACGTTGTGTTTAGTATATCGTCGGATAATTTCCAAAGTGTCGGACTAGTAGGTTTAATGTCATGTGCGTACGGGGGTGGAAATTGTTGGAAATCTGCCACCATCCGGATAAGTGACTGCCAACATGTTATTTTTTGTAGAAATTTTTGGTTTTAGCATTTGGATTAGTAATATGCATAACAATTATACTCATAGTCACAGGTTTGTGTGCTTATATACTCACACCAGGTGGGACCTGTGGCAAGGTTAGACAGCCTAGCAGCAAAATACTGAGTGCATAGGAATAGAATTGTGTTAATTTCAGCCCCTGTGTGAATATGTAAATATTGTGCACTATGATGACGACTTTTAATCATGTAAACATTTATACTACAAATATTGGAATGGAGTTAGAGGGACAGCCTTTACCCGGGACCTCATTGCAATTATTAAAGGGTAGAAATTGTAACCATACTGTGTGTTATGTTACTATAGGTACCTCTGCCAGATCCTTATGAACCAAAGATTACCGATGAAGCGATTGATCTCACCTATAAGTTGATAAAGGAGTTTGATAGGATGGAGATGAGAGAGCAGAAGTAAGTCGTTATTCTTATGTAATGAATATTCTTTACTCTCAGGGCTGCAAGGTTATTTCCACTTGTCCCATGCATCGGTGAAAGCAAATAATGAAAGCTATGACATTCAAAGGCAGTGCTACTCCTCTGGTATTAGATTGTACTTTATGTATTCTATAAAGCAGATTAGAAATACAATTATCTCTGCTCTCTTTAATTCCACACCTTGGCATAACAATAGCAGATAACACCGTTAAGTTGCAGTGTTTGGTAGTGAAACCCACACATAAAAACCACCACTGTGTTTTCTACATAGTCAATTGGCAACACTATCTCTTGCAAAATGCAACAAGCAGAATCAAGTAAATGTTGATGCAGTGCGGTGGCATTTTACGCGCAACGTGCAAAGTTCACCCTACCCTCTCGTAGACTGTATCAACACAATCATTCTGAAACGTATTGTAGTCTCGCAAAGCATTCCATTCATAACGAGTCATTAGTTATTAGTTATCAGTTTATAGCTTGTGTCTCGTGATGTGATACGTGCGTCACGAACTCTTGTGTGTCGTGACAGCGTTCAGGCCGGCCGGTTCGCACCGCAGCGGGACTCCGTCCTCATCTTCATGCCCGGGATCTTCGAGATCAGGAGAATGGACGACATCCTCACGAGCGATCCGTCGTTGGGGTTCGTACGTTAGTTTGGCGACGTGACAGCGCATTGCTAGTGGTGCGTAACGCCAACCGTACGCGCGGCGCGTGTGGATATTCGCGAGCGCAAGATGTTGGACCAAGTAGAATGCCGGCTCAACGTCGAGCGAAAGTTTGTGAGTGCGAACGTTCGCGTGTGACTCGAGCGCATATTATGATGGGCTCAACAGATCGGTGCTTTCACTCTGTGCGACATTTTCGCATGTGAATGCTTGCACACGACCAGTGAGTGTATTGTGGGGGTAGCTGATCCCTATAGTACACTAATTCTAACCTAATTGCTAAGCACTACCATAAGCATAATGACAATAAGTGTTCTAATATCTATCTATCTATTTATCTATATATATATATATATACATACATATATATGGATGCATGCACGCACATGC